TTAAATATCACTCACAAAGCAATATATTTCACTTACCTCGATTCTAACCCACTATTCCATAAATAATCACAAATTGCAGCTTCGATGTCATCAATTCCGCTTGGAATATCCGCTTTTTCAACCTACAATTTTGCATACAAATTTTTGTCACAACAATATGATAAAGATCAAATTAAGTTTTCTTTTATTCAACTTACCTTCTGCTTCTTCTTCTGGGGTGCAGGACATTCCGAATCCAAATCTGCATCTATAACACTCTCCGATGTATAGATCACATCGACATCATTCCTCCTCATTTCCTCCATCTTTTCTTCTTCCTCCCTCTTTTCTTTTTCCTCCCTCTTTTCTTTTTCCTCCATCTTTTCTTCTTCATATTTTTTCAGTTCATCGGATTTTTGCTCTTCATAGTTCTTCATCTCTTTTATTTCACCCTTTAAATTTTCCCCTTCATCCAAGTATTCATAAACCACCCCTTTTACCCCCGTAAGTTCACTCCTCAATTCCACAACCTTCTTCACCACTCCATCAATTTTTTCACCCCTCACCATCTTAAGTTCACCCCTCAACGCCTCAACTTCTTTCACCACTTCATCCCTCAACACCTCAACTTCTTTCACCACTCCATCTATTTTTCCTTCAACTTCCCCATTATGCCTCTCAAGTTTCTCTTCGACTCTCTCAAGTTTCTCTTCGACTCTTGATTGTCTTTGCATGATATCAAATTGGATTTTTTTTATATAAGCCAATTTAGACATCAAAATGTCGAATTTACTCTGTTTTCCCTTACCGTCATCCCCAATACAACCATCTCTTCTTCCTTCTCCTCTGCCTCCACTGCTTCCACTACATCATTGCAAATAACCTTCAAAATTAAATTACAATATTAAGACATTGATTATATTCTTAATATTATTTAATTATATTTATTACCCTTCTTTGCTTCCTCGGTCTATCCAACTTCAACTTCGCCATCAATCTAACCACCTCTTCCTTCCCCCATGCACAGATGCGTGCCACTCCGGTTCTTTCATAAGCCGGCACTGCCTCACAGCCCGACCAAAAATCAAACAGTGCAATCTGCATTTATAATAAAATTTATAATTTTATATAAAAAAACAAAAACGTTCTTCAACTCATTTACCTCTAATATTGCTATGCACCCTTTGAGGTATCTATGGCTGCCCTTTTTAAAGGTGATTATTGATTCAATTAATCTCGAATGGACATATTCAACCCAATTCAATTCACCCTTCAAGCCTTCATCGCAAATGAGCTTCATATAGTCCTTGTTCGTTGACGTCTCACCCATTAGACAAAGAAAGATCCCGACAATGTACAATAGAACTCGGGCCTTCAGCTCATCCCCCCCGTAAGATCCACTTTTGATTTCCTCTTCAAGTTTAACATATGTCACCTTCTGCTTCAAACCATTTTTGGAGGAAAGTGCTTTCCATTCCTTACTCTTAGAGACTTCTACAACACTTTTGCCTTCATTTCCTACCCCCAATATGGCTGCAACACATGGGATCCTGAGAGGAAATGAAAAATCACAACATTTAGCAATACATTGTTTGACATCAAATTGTGCCATCAAGGATCGACACAATTCCCAACGAATAGGTCAATCTCTTACTTCTACCAACGATACAAACCCCATTTCTCCCAGCACATTCAACTAACCCTTCTCCTTAATGTGTATAACTAATGAGTTCACCCTTTTAATGTTGCACCTTGTCGACACTTCCTACATTTTTTAACAATATATAATGTTATAGTTCTTATATATTTTGTATCAACGTATTTACAAGTTTAATGAATACCTTCTTTTCATGTGCTTTCCTCCATTCTTTGTATTCTTCTCTATCCATCTTTGACTGTGCGATGTATGGTTCCTTCTCAGCATCACTCATCGAATTCCATTTCTCCAACACATCATTTCTCACCTAATATTAAGCATAAACGTTTTTTAATCAATACATTAACGCTAAATAATACTCAATGTCAATTTCAATTTACATACCGAACTGATGTGTTCGCCACCTTCCTTCATCCTTTTACATTCAATCATACTGTCAACATTTAAAATTTGTCATCAATTTAAAGTGCTTAAATACTTTAATACAATTACCATTTCAACAATAATAACAAAAAGACATTGATACTTACTAGAAGTACATATATCCACACTTTGGTTGCTTTCGAGTCTCGGCCTCAATTTCAAAGTCATCTGCGCCACCAACAATATTTCCACCAATTGACTCCATTTTTCCTTCATATATCAGTTTACGCAAATCAAATCAAATACTTCTTACATACACTTTATTCAATATACAAATATAGATACATACTCTTGTGGTAAAACGATTTTCTTCAAAAGGATTTGAATGGCCACTACAAAATGTGCGACACATTTATACAACCTAAAATATCATTTTCTACCTATAATATTATATACATGTATCCATATTTACTTTCTACCTAGAATATTATATAATCGGTCTCAAATCCTTTTTGGCTCCAATTCGAAATCCCCAAACCAAACCTAAAACCCTAATCCCTATTTCCTTCAAACGAATGAGAACACTCAATACTCCAAGTATCGTCATATTTATACAACCTATAATATCATTTTCTACTTATAATATTTAATAAAAGTATCAATATTTATATTTTACCTAGAATATCACTTTCTACATGTAATCGGTCCCAAATGCTTCTTTACACCAAAACCACAAACAACACATAAAAACCCTATTTTGATTACTGTAATAATAAAAAACTAGGGTTTCGACAACGTACTTTTTGATTCGACTGCAGCAACAAACAAACAAACTTCGCTTTAGAAACGCCTTCTGAAATGCAGCAACAATTACACTTCGATTTCAAAAACTCGTCCGTTCTATCTATTTTTCAGAGGATATTTAACTATACCATATGTTATTTCTATTTAATCGATACAACTACAAAAGTGTCGACACTTTCGATAGTATAATTACTTATTTTTTTGAAAATATCGATAATTTATTACGCGTACTTATTAAAGTATTGACACTTTCAATATATCTGGTAGCGCTTTACCGGTTTTGTCATTTAGAGACCAGTTTTATCATATTTTTACCTGTTATATCGTTATGGATCGATACATTTTTATAAAGTATCGACACTTTAAAGGCGCTAAAACAGCTTCTCTTTTAAATTCACAAAGTGTCGATACTTATATTAAATTATCGACACTTTCAATATATTCGGTAGCTCTTTACCGGTTTTGTCTTTTCGAGATCGATTTTATCATATTTTTACATGTTATATCGTTGTGGATCGATATATATTTATAAAGAATCGACACTTTATAGGCGCTAAAACTGCTTCTCCTTTAAATTCACAATGTGTCGATACTTATATTAAAGTATCGACACTTGCAATATATCCGGTATCTCTTTACCGGCTTTGTCTTTTCCTGACCGGTTTTGTTATATTTTTGTCTGTTATATCGTTGTGGATTGATACATATTTATAAATAATCGACACTTTCCAGGCGCTAAAATTGCTTCTCCTTTAAATTCACAATGTGTCGATACTTATATTAAAGTATCGACACTTGCAATATATCTGGTATCTCTTTACTGATTTTATCTTTTCCTGACCGGTTTTGTCATATTTTTACCTGTTATATCGTTGTGGATCGATACATATTTATAAAGAATCGACACTTTCTAGGAGCTAAAACTGCTTCTCCTTTAAATTCACAATGTGTCGATATTTATATTAAAGTATCGACACTTGCAATATATCATGTATCTCTTTATCGGTTTTATCTTTTCCTGACCGGTTTTGTCATATTTTTACCTGTTATATCGTTGTAGATCTATACATATTTATAAAGAATCGACACTTTATAGGCGCTAAAACTGCTTCTCCTTTAAATTCACAATGTGTCGATACTTAATTAAAGTATCGACACTTGCAATATATCCGGTATCTCTTTACCGGATTTGTCTTTTCCTGACCGGTTTTGTCATATTTTTACCTGTTATATCGTTGTGGATCGATACATATTTATAAAAAATTGACACTTTATAGGCGCTAAAACTGCTTCACCTTTAAATTCACTATGTGTCGATACTTATATTAAAGTATCGACACGTGCAATATATACGGTAGCGCTTTACTGGTTTTGTCTTTTCGTGACCGGTTTGTTCATATTTTTTCCTTTTATATTGATGTGGATCGATACATTTTTATAAAATATCGACATAAACCGACAAGCTAAGTTTGCCGGTTGCCAAATTTTTTTAATATTTCTTCATGAATTAGACCTACTACATTATTATTACTCAACATTTTCGATAGCGATAAACCGAATTTGTTAAATATCTTTTAATGTATCCGGTAACGCCGTATATTAGCCCGCCTTTCCTGAGACAATCCCGTGAGTGACAACCAACAACAGAGGCTTTAGATAAATTTAAAGGTCAAATTGATATTTTATTTAAAATTTAGGGGTCAAATGATATTTTATCTAAAATTCATGAGGATATTAATATTCTATATAAAATTCAAAGGTCAATTTAAAAATTAGTAACATAAGTGACCAAAATTTAGTAAATTGATTATTTAAGTGATCAAAATATAACTTTTTTTTAATATAAAGAGCAAAAGGCTATAGATATAAAAGGAAAGTGATCAAACCAGTAATTTACCCTTAAAATGACTTTCACTATATTTTGTTTCTTCACAATTTTCTTTCCTACCAAACACATTCAAAATTTATTTTATTTACTCTTTTCAACTTTCCTTCTCCCTTCATTCCAAACAAGAAAGCAAAGCCTTAATAAGTCAGACAGATAAACTAAACACCAAATGTTAAGTGAAATGAATTCATAACAATTTCTGTATCATAGCAATCGCTATGTTGCAATTTATCTTACAACGCAGTTACCCTGCCAGGCAGTAGAAAATACAGGCAAATAGGCAAGGAGTAGTGCATGCAACTGTTCAACTTGATATTTAATTCTTTTACAATATATAATCTGAACATAAATGTACGCATTTCCCCACTTCTTTCGAAAAGCTAGCTAGCCCTGACAAACCAAACATCCATGGCGCAAGAAGAAATTACTCTGGTTAGCGGTAGGAACTGAAGCACATGGCAGTGTAATTTTCCTCAAAGATGGCCTCGAAAGCACCATCCAAGCTACAATGTCTACACTCACATTATTACACCATCTCAAGTTCATCTCTTTCAATGTTTTGCAGTTCATGATCACGCTTCCAACTCCACTGGCGGTCACATTCAAGCAACCTGCCAAATTCAAAAGGGATAGCTGCCCACACCGCTTCCCGATTGAAGCCAATGACTCGTCATCAATTGCCAATCCCTCTGCTTGCAAAACCTCTAGTTTAGGAAGTTCAAAGTCCAATTCGAGATTATTAACCCCTTGGCATTTGCTTATCTCTAAACACCTAATCTGCAAACAGTTCTTCAAAATCTCCAAGATGCCTTCCTTGGTGACACCCGAGCAGTAGGTAATGTTGAGTGCTTCCAAACTGGGGCAAACACAGGAAGCCATTTTCAAGCATTCATCATTCAAATTGTTATTCCAACCCAAATGCAATGCCTTAACCCGAGGATTCACCACAATTTCAGCTGGAAATGCTTCGACCCCGAGGTTTGTTCTCTCCATATTGATAATTGTTAGCAAAGGACAATTTCCCATAAGATAGAACAAGGTTGAATTGGTTAGCTTAGAGCATAACCTAAGGTTTATAAAGGTTAAATTATCAAAAAACTTGGCTAATTCTATCATGGACTCATCATTGAGAAAATTTGCTCCTTCAAGATCCAAATATGAAAGAGACGGGTACTTGGACAAGAGAAAGTAAATCCCATCAAATGTGAAACAAAAGCAACCAGAGAGAACAAGCTTGTGCAATGGAAGGTTAGCTTTAGCTATTAAACACAACAATTCATCAGATATAAACGAATTGGAGAGATCAAGCTCACTTAAGCTTCTGGCATACGCAAAGGAATCCAAAAAACATGCATCTATGGAAGGAATTCCAATTCCATTCATGAAAATCGACTTCAATTTGTCACTTTTACGAATAGCCAAAGCAATTCCGTTCTGGGTAATGAAATCGCAATCACGAATCCCAATTTCACTCAAGAATAAACAATTCGATGATAAAATAACAAGAGCTTGATCGGTTAAAAAAGTATTACCAGAAAGATCAATCTTGCGCAAATTCTTGAGTGACGAGGACAAACCAAGGATCCCGTAGTCGGTAACCAAACCAGAAAAGCTCTTGAAATCCAATGAACCGTTAGGGGAAAACCCACATCCATAGTCAGGGTAGCTAATGTCAACCACTTCGAGAGAAGGGAAACAATTCCCGATCTCAATCAAATCGGAGTCCTTCAGAGACCCAGTTTTGGAGCAATTCAATTCTACCAAATTCCTCATCTTGGAAGCCAAGTGTTTCAAACCCAGTAGAGGGAAACACTTGTGGTTCGAAACGTGGAGGGATTTCAAGGGCAACCCAGACTGAGAAATCATGGAAAGAACCGAATCGAGATTGCCGTGGAAATCACGGAAAACGACGGTGGTGAGATTCGGAAAGCGGAGGAGGAGATTAGGGAGGGATTCGAGGGTTGGGTCGGTGATGGTGAGAGTGCGACGAAGAAGATTGGTAATGGAAAGAAATCTCTTGCAGACCAAAGAAAGAGGTTCAAAGTAACGATGGTGTTCTAACAAACTGAAAATCGATTCCCAGCATTCTTCTGCTAATTCCATGATCGATTTTGTGGGAAAGAATGAAAAAGGCAAAGCAAGATCAACAGAGCAAAAGAAGATTTGAATATAAACAGGAGACTACACAAGGCATTAATATGATATTAATATATCACAGGAGATAAAATTAGGGTAAAGTATACTAATGGTCACTTAACTTTTCTAAAGATTTCATTTAGGTTCCTCAAATTTTAAAACTTTCAATACAGTCCCTCAACATTTAGTTCGTTTGCAATATGGTCCCCAATTGTTATGTCGGGGACCATATTGCAAACGGACTAAATGTTGAGGGACCATATTGAAAACGAACTAAATGTTGGGGGATTATATTGCAAGTTTTAAAGTTGGGGACCTAAATGAAAGCTTTAGAAAAGTTCAGTGACCATTACTATACTTTACCAATTTCTTTTATTTTTACCTAGCTGGTCACTGCATGTTACTTGGAGCGAATAGACCTTTCTGCCCATGGATTTTATATCACACCTGATATTTGCTTTGATTGGAGTACCGGTAAAGGAAAGCCATTCAATTATTACACCTATGGGGCTGCATTCGTTGAGGTTGAAATCGATACATTGACCGGAGATTTCCACACAAGAACAACAAATGTTTTCATGGATCTAGGATATTCTCTCAACCCTGCAATAGATGTTGGCCAGGTTCATTCCCTTGCTTCTTTCTAATTAGGCTGATCATTCGAACTTAATTATACTTTTCAAGTTGAAATGTCTCTTCACCTTGATGATATATGCAAGAAACGAGCCATAATATACACATCACTTCAGCTTAGATATGTAATTGTTCCGGGTTTCAGAATGTTAATGTTATATTACAAATATTGTTTTCAAGAGGAACTAATGGTTCAGAAAGGATGGAACTTGGAAGTAATGAGAATAGTGTTCTCTGTGCTTCCCTTTATTAGAAAATCCATAATGATATTTCTCCCAAAGAAGGTTAACAAAAACGTGGCGATCTCGGGTAATAATCTCTAAAACAAGATTCAAAACAGAGTTAAAAAAAAGGATAGGTCTACTAAATAAGTCATACCTGCTGTTTCCCCCTGTTTTTGGTTAGTTACATGTCATTAATCTCCATTCTTAACTTTTTATCTTATCGACAAGCTAATGTTTCTATATGTAATTCGGTCTTTTAATGCTGGTCGAAGGCGCATTTATCCAAGGTCTTGGTTGGGTTACCTTGAAAGAACTCAAGTGGGGCGACTCATCTCATAAATGGATTCCATCTGGCTGCTTGTACATATGTGGGCCTGGAAGTTACAAAATTCCGTCTCTAATTCTAAATGATATTCCTTTCAAGTTTAATGTTTCTATATTGAAGGTAATGTTTCTCTAAACGATATTCCGTTGAAGATGCGTCATCTTCTTTTCTCTCTCCGAACCTCATATCAGTAGTTGCATGGTCATTTCTTATTCCAGTTGCAGCTGGAACTGTGTTTTGCCACCTATTAGTTGATTTTGAAAGTAGTTCTTTTGGTTCTAGATAATTTGAAGTCTTTGTTTATATGCTTGCGTGCTGGTGGGCAGGGTAATTCAAATGTAAAAGCCATTCATTCATCAAAAACTGTTGGCGAGCCTCCGTTTTTTATGGCTTTATCTGTTTTCTCCGCCATCAAAGACGCCATTTTAATCGCCAGAGCAGAAACGGGTCATGTCGGGTGGTTTCCACTAGATAATCTCGCAACACCAGAACGAATCAGAATGTCGTGCCTAGATGAATTTACAACACCATTTGTAAGCTCTGATTTCCACCCAAAGCTTAGTGTTTGAGATGGTCGTGAATTGCCTGTACCATTGCAGGCAGAGTTTCAATTATGCCATGATTTTACGGATTAATTCAGTTTAACAAACTATCTACTTGTCACTACACATCAGTAGCCTTGGCCCTCTCCTATTTGCCAAACAAAAGGATGAGCATCATAATACAATTAATGCTAAAATATATCTTTAATTAGTTGAATGTTTGCAAATAATTTTTATTCCACTAATGGCTTACTAAAACGAGAACAAGCCTGGTCTACTTTTTCTTGTATGGTAAAGTTTGATTTAAATAATAAAATACTTTCAAACAACTATTTGTTAACCAAGTCAGCCTGCATACTGCTAGTGCTTCAGTTTTATGAATTATGACTTCATTCTTATGTTATTTTAAACCCAAATACATTAAGGAATAGGATAGAACTGGTTCAGAAGTTACCTAAACAAAAATATATAAATAACTGAGAGATAATCAATATATAATTTATTATAGGGTAAAATATAGTAATGGTTACTGAATTTTTTTAAAGCTTTCATTTAGGTCCCCCAACTTTTAAAACTTGTAATATAATCCCCAAACATTTTGTCCGTTTGCAATATGATCCCTCAACATTTAGTCCATTTACAATATGGTCCCCGAAGTAACTGTTAGGGGTCAATATTGCAAACGGACTAAATGTTGGGGGACTGTATTGCACGTTTTAAAAGTTAGGGGACCTAAATGAAAGCTTTAGAAAAGTTTAATGACCATTACTATACTTTACCCATAAAATTATTAAAGTTCATCTTAAATTTGAAATTTTGACTTTATTGGTTAATGGTGGGGTAAGGTATCATTAGGCCTCACAAACTCGATACGAACCTTATTTTACTCTATTCAAATTATGCCTAATTTAAAATTTAACTAATTCAATATGAATCCATATCTAATTTGATCTGAATTGAAGAGAATCTGAATAATCTAAAAAATTATCTGAATCGAAAAGCAACTCAAATCAAATTTAACCTGACCTAAAAGTAACCCAAACCAAAATCAATCCGAACCAAAAGCAATTTGAATCGAAAATTTATATATACTTATAATCAAATTAAGACTAAATGATAATTTTAACAAACAAAAGATATATTTTTACAATAATATATGAATAATTATATATATATTTGATTAGACTCTTAACCAATTCAATTTGAATTGATCTGATCCAAAGGTTGACCCAAATAAAAAATTAACTGATCTGATATTAACTCGATCCGAAAATCAACCGATCTGACATTGACTCGACCCAAAATCTAATTGATCCGATATTAATCTGACCCGAAAATTGACTAGACCCTACCCGAATGAATCGTTTGCCACATCTAGTATCATGTCTTTTCAATTTAGCCTCCATATCTTAACGGTCCATTAATTATTAGTTCAAAATTAACAATAATAATAATAATAATAATAATAATAATAATAATAATAATAATAATAATAATAATCTATTCAAATAATAATGATAAATTATCACTTGCTTGTTAATGGATGAAGGATAGACAGCAGTGGCAGAATTGTTAGTGCAACACCTAAAGATGCAGATAACGTCAAGGATATGGTTTCTTTGGTGAGGAGACTGGAATTGTGGGTTGGTTTGGGTTTCAGATTTTGTTTAGGGACTCATGATAATCGATTTGTGTTATTTTCTGTAGTTTATAATGGTAAGTCAGGTTTTTGATACAAGGAATTGAGGAGATTTGTTCATGATAGTGCTTAAATAGTTGCCGGAAATTTCAATGTAATCTTTCATCCAAGTGAAAGCCCCAGCCAAGCTTCAACATACGATGTGCAAAATTTTGTGGACTTTATCAATCAGGTGGGTTATCCAGATAAGGACAGGGATTGGATTAATATTTGTACAACTCTCTAAATTTTCCATTGCTTTAACCGGAGGCTTAGTGGGCTGCATATCAGGGCGAAGGACCCTAAATGTTTATATTGATTTGGGGGATGAATGTTTTATTTGGTTTTTCCCAATAGGGCACCCGCTGTAATTATTTGACCCAATAGGATATCTCAAAAATTAATTTGGAATTTACGATATTTTCTACAGTCTAGAAAAACTCGTCACATCATCTTGACGTGACAAATTTTATGGGATATAATTTTATATTCCAAGCCTAATATTTCAATATTTTCTGTGAAACTTATCAATTCGAGGTGACGAGTTTTATTAAAAATTATTATTTTTAGATTATTATGCGAATTTAATGTTGGAAAGAAAAAAATACACATGAACTTGTCACATCAAGGTGACGAGTTCTGTTAGATTTTTTTCTCTTCAAAATGTGGTAGATTATGTTGAAAAGAACAATAAACTATGAACATTAGATTAGACTTTTAGAAGTGCACATTAGGAAGAAAAAAACTACAAACTTAATACATTAACTTAATGACGTAAATGAGACTATTTCAATAAATAAAGTATATTCTTGATCAATATAAGGATTATCGGCCTACTCGATATCTTGGGAGATGTGGTCAATGTTTCTTATTGTGGCCTTCAACTCTGCAGTGGCCATATAGCTTCGACAGACCTTGCTCTCTTTAAGGGTCATCCATATTAGTATGAATTTGATTAGATTCAGGACGACCCTTCAACTTTCTTCATAATTGTGGATTGGACAACCATTCTTCAGAGACAGTAGGTGGCCAATATGCATCATTCGGGAGATACTTAAACTCGTAATTGTATATGTTGCACATAGTATGCAAGCTATAAGTATCATCAATGTAAATGCATGGGTCTACATTCACATGCATACATGCAGTAACCGCGTGAGCGCATGGGTATTTGAAGGCTTGAAATCGACCACAATCACACCATCTTCTATTCAGACTACGAGTATATATGGAAGAAATCAAACCTTCATGTGGTCGAACAAGTGCTTGGACAATATAATCAGATTCCAACCTGGTGAAATTACGAACATACATTGATGTTGCATGAGTTTGATTTTTAGTCATTGCTTTCTCCAAATCTGGAGCCCAATTTCTACCTTTGTTGAGCATTGCCTCTATGTGGGCACTTTTGTCTGCCCAAAATTTATCCAATCTAAAGTATGTCTCCCGAACAATACTTTCCACCGAAAGATGTCTAGTTCTTTTTAGCACTAAATTGATACACTCGACAAGATTGGTTTTCATATGATCGTAACATCGACCTTGATTGTCAAATGCATGTGCACATCTTTCTCGGGGTATCTTAGTTGCAAAGTTATACACCTCTTCTCTATACTTTC